CTACGAAGATTGATAAAGTGGTAGTCATGGCGCATCTGCCAGAGATTTATCAACGCCCGAATACTTCCTCCACTATCCACTACAAGACTTCCGTTTATTGGTGGAGAACAGCAGCACAGAGTCTTACATGGATGCGGATTGCGCCTCTCTCACATCAGAAATCATTTTGAGGTATGGTGCAAGGTCACGTGTGATTACAATGCATTCTTCTATGTGGTTCAATTTTACATTCTTGGGATATATACAAGATACCCAAGATACCACCGATCGCCCTCATATGAGGGATCCAGACAGCCGGTTAGTCGTGAGGCTACGTGGCGTGTCCTCAGGTAACCGATATGTGGTTAATCGCGGACCAAAAGCGACCTTTGCCTCCCTGAGACACAGATGGGTCCAGACGATGGACTGCCTGCTTCCGCTGTGCCGATTTGGCAAATACTTTCCGTATTTACGAGACGTATTCATGCATCCGTGTGTGGACGCGTTCGTGTTTATGTGGATTGTATTTCACCAGTCGATTTGGCCAAAAGCCTGCAATCAAGTGACAAGAAAGCATATGGTAGGCGGTTAGGAATCTCCCCCAACAAATAAGCTATATATACACTCTGCAAAAGACTGAAAAGCTCCTCGTGAGTATGCCAATTCCCCACGTTCAGAGCACAACAGACTATACGCTGGTGTCAAAAAACTAAACACAGTTTAAAAAACGGACCTTATTCCCCTAACCCTGAAAGAGTTCCGATTCGGGAGCAGGACGAGCACGGAGAGGCTTTTGTAATCACAGTACCATTCTAGGTCGCTTAGAAGGCAAAGAACTAAGGTACCTACAATGCACGTACATTTGCATCCGAGTCCTCGATAGAAGACTTGCTCGTGCAAGTAAGAAGGATAGGGTACGACGTCATCGGTCTGGCCGAGACGAGGAGACGCCAGCTTTCCAACGCCGTCTATGACACCGAAAAAGAACTATTTCTCGGAACATGCGACAGTAGAGGAGTCGGCGGCGTCGGCGTTCTCGTCAACACGAGTTTGTCCATGAACATTGATTCATTCTAACAACTTACAACCCGAATCGGACGTTCACGATTAAGAAGACGTGGATCAATTTCGGCTTTGACAATCTTCGTCGTTTACACCCCGACGTCAAACTATGACGAAGAAGAAGTCGAAGAGGTCTATATGGACTTGGAGAAGTTCTACAGAGAAGACCGCACATTCTTCAAGGTCAACATCGGAGATATCAAAACCAAAATTGGACCAAGAAGAACGTCTGAAGAGCGTCACATTGTGACTCAGGGATTGGAATGGAACGAACAGGGTGAGCGGCTATTTGAGTTTATCATGGCGACCAAGACAATCCATGGTAACTCTCAATTCCAGAAGCCCCACTCTCAGCGGTGGAGGTGGGAGTCTCCCAATGGAGAGCACCATAACGAAATAGACCACATCATAGTAAATAGAAGGTTTTGCCAAACAGATATTGCTGTTGTCCCAAAATTTTGCATGGGGTCAAACCGCAGTCTCCCTCGTGCAAGATTCTATTTTTCGCGGAAAGGAGAAAAAGCCGCTAAGTTCAAGAACCGAAGTCCCAGAACCACCACAAACTGCGATTTGTGCAATTCATTAGTCGGCTGTTGGAAAGATGCCGTTGTCGATAACATCGACAAAGAATTCAATCGGCTCATTCAACATCTTCACGCTAGCGCTATGAAAGCTCAGAGTTCGAAAGTCAGCAAGAGACCTCTGTCTCCAGAAACACTCGAGCTGATACGTCAGCGTGGAATCGCACGAACTACAGGCAACTGCGAACTAAAGTCCGAGTTTGCAAAGCAATGCAGACAGGCTATAAAAAAAGATTTTAGAGAGAGAAGAGCAGCAGTAATGGCCGAAGCTGCAGAGGCTGGGAAAAGCATTCGCAAAGCCCACCGAAACTTCGCCAATTATAAGACCAAAGTGATTGCTTTCCGACGTCCAGACGGAACAGTTACAACGTCGAGAAAGGCAATGGAGAAAGCCATTCACGAATACTACTCGGATCTCCTCGAAAGCCACGTCCACCTTCCGTCGTATGAAATAAAGGAAGATGGATATGTTGTACCGCCGGTTCTCCCATCAGAAATCGGACATGCCATTTCGTTGGTGAAAAATCGAACAGCACCAGGTCCGGACAGGATAAAACCAGAACACTTGAATAACCTTCCACCAGTACTCGTAAACACACTGGCTCGGCTCTTCACACGTTACCTGTCTGAATGCAAGGTCCCCACTCAGTGGAAGACCAGCAAGGCCGTGTTATTGTTCTGCAAGGGTAACCTACACAATATCGGCAACTATCGCCCAATCTGCTTACTGTCTGTCGTCTACAAACTTTTCACTCGAGTCATACTAAATAGGATCGACAGAACACTAGACGAAGGACAGCCATGTGAGCAAACAGGGTTTCGAAGAGGATTTAGTACGATGGACCACATCCACACGATAACACGGCTGATTGAAGTATCGCGAGAGTACAAAAGACCGCTCTGTCTCACTTTGGTCGTTTTACAAAAGGCCTTTGATTCGATTGAGATAGAAGCAGCCATGGAAGCCCTTGATAGTGAAGGAGGTCCTACTCAGCACATGAGGATTATTCGTGATCTGTACAAAAATTTCACAATTAAGGTATCACCATTCTACAACGATGGCGATACTATCTCACCAAAATTATTTCCTGCGACCCTCTAGTACGTCGTGCGAAGATTGGAATGGGATAATATGGAAGTGAAAGTCGACGATCGGCAGTTGCATTATCTTCGCTTTGCTGATGACATCGTCCTCATAACACCAAACATTCCAAGCCAGGCAGAACGTGTGCTTGCCGACTTTGATAAAGCCTGTGGAAAGATTGGTCTTCGACTAAATCTCACAAAAACGATGTTCATGAAGAACAGATTGATTTCGCACGCTCCATTCACGCTCAACGGTGTGTATATCTCTGAATGCTCTAGTTATATCTAAGTCGGGAAATCAATATGATGAACGACCTAGCTCCAGAGCTAAGCAGAAGAAAACGAGCGGCTGATCTTTCGAGAGTATCGAGGATGTATTGAAGAGAACAAAGAACACCAGACTCCGTGCCCACCTTTTGAACTCAACGGTACTTCTTCCCCTAACGTATGCGCCAGAAACCTGGTCGCTGCGTAAGCAGGATGAAAGGTCACTCAGCGTTATCGAACGCGCAGTCGAAAGGACGATGCTAGGAGTATCCTGTTCCACACAAGTAAAAGATAGTATCCGAAGCTCCGATCTGCGTCAACGATCAAAAATCAAAGATGCCGTTCTGTACGCCAAGCAGTCGAAGATAAGGTGGGCCAGACACGTAATGCGTAATGCGTATGAATGACAACCGATGGACAAAAGCCGTTAGTGACTGGATTCCTCGGGATGTCAAATGTACTACAGGAAGACCGCGGACGCGATGGTCAAGAGTTCTTCACAAAGAGCCTTGAAGAAGAATATGATGCTCGACGAGTCCCTAGAGCGAGCAAAACCCACTGGGCTACTCTTGCACGCGACGAGAAAAAATGGAAGATTTACTGGCACCCGCTCGAGTCACTGGACGATTAACGGGACTATAGGTGATTCAGGTGATCATTTCCACCGAGGGCGCGTGTGGCACAGTGGTCGGGGGCGCCCTGAAACACACACGTGGATTCGATCCGTGGGCCCATGGCTCACCAAGTCATCCATACCTCCGGGGTCGGCAGATTGGTAGCAGTCTTATCTGGGGATAGCAACACTGGCTCGATACATCGGTAGGCCACCGCTAGTGATTCTAAGGGCCAGATATGCGTTCGATCACCTCCAAAAGATGCTCAATGAAGTCGAATGCATGGCGCATCCCTTAGGGATTGATCGACGCCTAGTGCTTTAGTGCTTTTATCTTTTCTATTATGGTAACGTAACGATTATACTGAATACCCAAAAACAGTGTGTGACTCTAACAGAGAAAATAGAAGTAAACGAAACAAATGGGAAAAAGGATAAGCAAGACGAATATCAAAAAAGGAAAATTGGTGGGAAAGAAGTAGGGAATTTTACAATAAAAGACATGACAATCCCCAAAACTAACCAGTGAGAGATGTATTGGTTTCCTGATTTACAAACTGCATCAATTTTCTCCTCTGATATGCATCAAACGAATAATAACAACTCTTTTTTAAAACCGACTTCCATTTGATTTCGGTATGGATAATCAATGCACTACCCCTCATAGATCAGCTGGCAGGAGGTTGTTATAAAACTTGCCTAATTCGATGCTATCACGAAGACTCACATCGGAATAATCAATGACTGTAGGCAATCAACCCGGATCAATACAGTTTCGAAGAAGGAAGAGATGTCGAAACGTCAACCGAATAAGATGTTTAACAACGGCGTGCCAGCTAATCAGTGTAGGATAATGACCGCTTTTATTACTAGTGATTAATAATAACGGTTATGCAATACGTACATAGCCTCTGGTTCGATCATGAGCTCTTGGCCAGCTAAGACTGTTCCTTCGGCGTAAGCAGATTGTTCTCAAAATCTTTTGAGAGTTAATCGCAACCAAAAACAAAGTAAAGAACCGTGGCTTAATAGATCGGTGGCAGCTGCACGTCAGTGTATTGGTAAAATATGCATTCATTCACTTCAGTGTTGGCACAAATCGAGTCGAAGACACAACACATCACTGAGTGATTGATCAACGGAAAAAGGTTTTCCCTATTCTCTTTAGTCGTGATAGTAGTAATAATAGAAAACTTACGATTTCAGATCTACTGCATTGCGGGAGGCAAGTAGGTGTTTGTTGACATGAGCATCTTGGTTGAAAATTCGAGAATGTCTAAAGAATTAGAATAAAGATAACAATATAGAATGCATAAAATATGCTGATCAATCCAAATCCATTCACAGAATAATTATTGCTCTTCTTATCATACAAGTTCGCCTATTTCTCTCTGAAAAGATCTTCTTCATCGTCTTGTAACATATTCTTTTCTATGGGAACAATATTCGTTTAGAAGTGGCTAGAATATCTTTTCTTCTCTGAATAAAAACGTCAGCTCGAATGTATGATGATCTCCGTCGGGTCGATCTCAGCTTCTGAGCTTCTTAAAGTAACAACGATATATTAACCGCCTCGTTTATAGAATGACTATTTGGTTCATTCTTGTGCGCGCTGATTTCAATATATTCGTTGCTGTACGCTTCGGACCCTACACCTTGATTTCAATGCGGATCTCAATTGTGCTCCAATGACACGCGGTTCGATGAACCCTATATGACCGCGGTAGGAAAAAGGTAGGACCTTTTGTACTGCGCTAACGATTTAGTGCACTGCGTTGACGAAAACTGCACAAATATAAGACGAAACGATGCGGAAAGCTAATAACATCATGGTTAATTTTGGTTAATAGATGAATTTTATTCTATCACACATAAGAGTTAGATCACACAAGATGTGTCAAGTAACATGGGAGCATACCCAAAAACATAGCTGATATGTAGAAGTTAAAGACATAGAAGTAATATAAATAACCGAACAACAGAAGGATAATCTCAAGAAAACAGTACGCCGTGCCTCCTGGGCGGGCTCACGGATCGTACGTCTTCATTTCAATGCCCATTCGTATTGTGCTCCAATGACAAGCGCTCCGACGAGCCCCACGCGCGAAAATGGACACGATCGTGAAACGGTTAGAAAAGTTAAATTTGAAGAAAAAATGAGAGGAGAAAAGTGGGAAAGCGGACGAAATGAACTGATCAATTGACGTTGGCGAAAAGGTTTGCGATCATCAGCAACTGTAGATGATTTCATTCCAATTTTTCATCTTTGAGTGTTTGTTATTTCATGAATTTTAGTTGAAGGATTGTAGTGTAAAATATTAGGATAAATCAAATAGAATGGCGAGTAAGTAAATGACGTTTTCACCTGCTTTTAAAAAGCGAAAATTTGGAGAGTCGAATTGGCACACAATGACTGACGTGCATTGAGTACAATACACTGTATTATGAAGTAATAACCGTTTCGAACATAAAAGCGACATATCTGACCTCATATCATTAAACAAACGACTAAACCTATTGAAATCTTATTAGTAAAAATCAAAACAATTGTCTGTATCGGACAAGTCTCTTTATTCTACTCATGTGGAATTCTGATTCTTTAAAATCCACGTAACGTGTTTTTCCCCCACTTTTTTAAGTCTGTTCTGACCTTTCGAACAACGAAGCGACTGAATAAGCGCGATTTTGGCTATCAGAAGAAAAAATTTATGCGATTATTTTCAACAAGAGAATACAAACACATACCTGTATTGGCCTCAGACAGCTACAAAATGACGAACATCCACAATTTTTCCCGGCTCGACGACTCTTAAAAGTATAGGAAAATCAGACTTTTATCGTGACCACAACCTTCATCGCTGATAAAGTTTTTGCACTTTTTGATTTTCTGTCAAATGGTTCGTATTCTGTTGTATTTTAAATAAGAAAATGATAATGACACTTTTGTTAGCATCGAGGCATAGAAGCGAAATAGATGGTCGGAAATAAAACGTAGAGCTTCCGTTCTTAAAAAATAATCCCAAACAGTGAAAGCTGTAAACGCAGAAACGCGTTTTTACTGTTGCATGAAGTAAATATATGTGAAAAACTCGGATGAAACATGAGAGAGATGTTATCTATTAGCAGTGGCAGCCCTATGCCCCATTGGTTATCTGTCCTATGAATGAACAACTTATGGTATGTCGCAACATTTCGGATAACAGTTTGTAATTGAGAAGTGCATGAAAGGCGCTCCAACATCGCTTGCAACAAACAAAACCTATTTTGCTTTTGAACGAACTGCACAAGCAAATTGCTGATCAAACCAGCTGCACTACTCAAAGCTATTCTCTCACAAAAAATCTGCCAAGAAATAAAGGCCAGAAAGAGTCATGCATTTCCTATTTTCCAACTGACGACTCTAATAATCAGCTCTTCTACGAATGGATACTTTATGCATGTATTAGTGGGATGATCGCTCCTATTTAATGTTTTGAGTAGTAGTCGGTCTCGATCCTTATTCACTCGATAACAGCAGCCTAAGGAGCAGCCGAAGTAATACGTCAACCCTAACTACTACAGCAGATTGCATTTGCGAGAGAGCAAAGAGATAAGAAAAATTTTGAAGCCTGGATACCACATGTGAACGAAGTGTCTGAGCCTAAGAACCTAAGTTAATAGAACGACCAAAAGATTTTGAATTCCTTTTGGACTTAATGCCTGCACATATTTGCATGCCCTACTAGACACTTAAGAAAATTTCTATTAAGCTCAATTATATTCCCTCAGCCTGTTCCTGAGGTGATTTCTAACTGAGGTCAACCGAGTGCGATTATTTGAGCAGTGCGTAAGCGGCGTCGAAACTCGGTCCGTTTTGAATAATGGGATGAATAGAACCCGAGCACGACAGCCTGAGCTCTCACACACGAGCGCGGTCACCAGCTGAATCATTTCCGACCAGAAACACAGTGACGTAACTCAGTTACGTCATTATTTGATGAGTACGGATAGAAGTTGCAGCTTAAAAAGCATGTTATATCGTTTTATTCGAGATGTTTTCTACAAAGAGGAAAGCGACTGAGAGCGGCAATATGGCGACCTTTAACAAGTTCTACCATTTAATTTCTAGCATTTGTTTCAGCATTAGCTACTAGTATGTGACTAGTAATAGAATATAAGGGGGAAAGTTCTTTGTTCTCGTCGTACAAAAAGACATCTTTGCTTTCACAGTGTGCTTTTTTTAGTCTTTCTGCGAAGTACGTAAGTACTAACAACTTTTACAGGTTTCCTTGTGGCATAAAAATTACTCTCCGCTGAGTTTCCGTACCTGAGTTTCAAACCATTTAGACATTGCACCATCCAACCACGGTTAGGCCTTAGAGCGTTATGAGAGATATCGTTATTTTATATATATATATATACAAAAACACACACATTCGTGTTCGTGGAGCTCTTCAGTAACTTTTCTACAGAATTTCTATTTTAGGTTAACAAACTAGGGCCAAACGATTCCCTATAAATATCTCTTTACACTGGTGATGTAGTAATTATAAAGATGATGAATAATCCTCGAAATCTAGTGCGATCCGTTTGAAAAAACAATTATTCGTATAACTAAGAGTCATAAAAGGAAAAACGAAACAAATACAGGACGGAAAACCTGTTAGAGTGAGCCCTGGTAAAATCAAAACAAGGAAAATCTTAAAATGATGGCCTAATCGCTATAAAGAGAAGTCAGCTATAACTACAAATACAATTGGTTTCCTAATCCCAAGATAAAATGAAACCACCTGCGGAACCGTTAAGCTCCGTAGATGACAGTTGCAAGACGAGAAAATAAGTAAAAAAAAGTAATGGACATGTATTAAATGTGAGCACGGATCATGCATGCATAGAAGTTCTGAACACTCAGTTAAAAGTTGCAGAAATCTTAAAAATAAAAACTTTACTTTACCAAAGATAGCTCAAACTCAAATCCAATTATTATTCGACGGACACGTTCTAAGCAGGGCGAGATGGTTTCCTCTAGACTTTTGAGA